GACCTACCACAAACTGCAGGTCCAATTAGAGAGATGTCCTAGACATGTGCTGCAAATAACCTAAAAAGAGCAGGCTCATAATATACATGTAAAGTACTCAGAGAGGCTTCCCAGGTGGCACAGATTCTTTGGTGGTAAAGAATCTGCCTGCCAATGCAGGAGACTCAAGAGATGCAGGCTCGATACATGAGTTGGGAAGATCCCCTGAGAAGGAAATGGCAACCCACTCCAGAAATCCCATGATCACAGGAGCCTGGCAGGTACAGTCTGTGGGATCACAGAAGAGTCAGGCACAGCTTAGTGACTAAACAGGAAAGTCGCATTACAATGTCTACTGTGCAGCAAAGTGCATCAGCCACAGGTGTACATGTACACGCACGTGTGCACACACACCCCCTTCCTTTTGGACTTCCGTCCCATTCAGGTGGTGACAAAGAGCTGACTAGAGTTCCCTGTGCAATACAGTAGTTATCTGTTTTATACATAGGAGTGTGCACACATCCATCTGAATCTCCCAATTCTTCCCACCTCCCCCTTTTATCCCCTTTGGTATCCATGCTTGTCCTGCATTTGTCTCTATTTCTGGTTTGCAAATAAGTTGATCTATGGCATTTTCATAGATTCCACATATATGCATTCATATATGAAGTTTTTCTTTTTCTGACTTAACTTCACTCTGTTTGACACTCTCCTAAACCAATGCTTTTGTTTTAAAAACAAACAAAAAAATCCAGGAGGACTATTTGAATCAAAGGACTTCCTTTGTGAAAATCAAAAGGAAGTGTTTTCTCCCTCCTTCTGTAAGTCTGCAGTTTTTCAGTGGGGAAAAAAGATAGCACTGCTGACCATTTTCCTCTCTTTAGAAGCAAAGCATGACTTCAAACTCTATTTGAGAGATGACCCCTTTTCGGAAATTAGAGGTGCTGAATTTATTGCCAGCCAGTCATAGCTGTCCATCTGCTAATTTTGTCCACATAGAGGCAGCAGCTGTCATTTCAGAAATGCTACAGTAGATAATAAGATGGGGTGCATTTCATTGTCAAATGCTTAAAACAAATCCCCAGGAAGAGCCACAGCAATTCCTCCGACTGAATGAACTGCTGATGTCATTAACGCAAAATGCTAAATGGATTTGGAGATTGGAAGAAAATGCATTTGCTTTAAAAGGAGCAGCACTCGAGTTAGGCATAGTACTTGGTGTAATAATGTGAAATTGCAGAAATCTAGGAACTGCTGAAGTCATAAGCACACACAGGGATACTCTCAAAACCATAACCACACAGAGAACACTGAATACAAATACATACGGGTTTCCCAAGTTCATGCCACCTAGATAGACCTAAGGAATGCATTGTTGTCTCCGCCCCTGAAACACCAGCAAAATTTTCTCCCAGCTAATAGGAGAAAAGACTTGCTTAAGTCTCAAATGAGTCCAGTTTTTCCCCAAATCTGCACATCTAGTCAATCTTAGAAGCCATCCTTACCTTGGTACAATTTAATGGCCTGCTTGGTACTATTAAATAGTCTGTTTAGCAATTTATATTGTTATATCCTTGCATTTCTTTCCTTAGACAGCATTTTATTTTTTATTGGAAATTGCTTTACAACATTGTATTAGTTTCTGCTATACAACAAAGTGAATCCTCTATACATGTACACAAACCCCCCCCTTCAGCCTCCCCCACCCTCCCACGGTCCAGGTCCTCACAGAGCACTGAGCTGAGCTCCTTGTTCTTTATGGCAGCCCCCGCTAGCTTTCTGTTTAGCACACGACACTGCACACATGTCAATCCTGCTCTCCAAACTTGCCTGCCCCTCCCCTTGCCACCGTGTCCACATATTCATTCTGTGTCTGTCTCTGTTCTTGCCCTGCAAACAGCCTCATCTGTACCATCCCTTAGATAACTCTTGTTCTCTTCAGCCTCATGGTTTCCACTCTTAAATGTGTTCAAGTCAGCTTGAATTTAAAAACTAACCACTGCCTCTTATTTGAGGTTCCCAGTCAAGATTCTTCTCCCTTCCAATCAAAGTGCATACAGTTCTCTGATGATTATTCATAAGGAAAAGTGTTAGGATGAGATAAAGAATGAATGAACATAATCCAAGTGGTGCTTTGCATTCCTTAGCATTATAGTTGAAGATGAGGATATAATACAGAGAGAAATAGAGATTATGCATGTGGATATAGATGTAGACATGGCGTGGACATAGACAGTGGTGGAGATAGAGTTACATAGTTTCTCCATGGAGATATCTAAAACAGAGACTGTTTCATTTAACCCTCAAAAAAATCTTGAGAGGTAGGGTAGGAATATCTATATTCTTTTGCATATGACAATATTGACTCTCCGAAGCCCCCAGTCCCTTTATCTGGTGACAAAGCTGAGAGTTGAGACTCAGTCTTTTTAACCAACACTCAGGCTTATTCTGATTGCAGCACAAAACTCCACCCCGCCCCTACATTTTGAAGAACTGTTGTCTAGAATGGTATATCTGCCATTGGCAACCTCTGGGTCTTTTCCTCGTGGACATCACTCTAGAGCTTGATCTCTGTGGAACAGAAGGAAAGCAGAGGCAGAGAGCGTTTCATGGAATTGCTGGCTACTGGTCACAGAGAAAGAGTGCATTTTTATTGCTACAAACAGAATTACTTTTAAGGGGCCTCCACTGATTTCATTACTTTTGATGTTACAAAGGAAAAAAAAAAAGAAATCCCCACTGTTGATGAGAATTCAGGTCAAGGCGGAATCACAGAGCAGTTAGAGAAAATTCTGAGGCTCTGGGATGTTGTGCTGGCAAGTACCTTGATTTGAGAAAAGAAATTCATTTAAACATAACAGATAGGCTTAGGAGAAAGTCTGGGACACCAGCTTCTTTCCATTGCTATTTGCTTCTTTCGAAAGATCTGCTTTGTATTTTATCTTCATCCTTGGTTGCCAGGCAGAAACCCTATTTCTAAATGTCATTGCTGTTAAAAAGAGGACGGTGCGGGGTGTAAAGCAAGAAGAGAATAAAAGTCATAGAGGAAGATGCAACAAGCCTACCATTTCTCAAGTCAAAATATTTTAATGGTGAAATCAGGATAAATGATTAATCTAAAGATTTTCAGTTTCCAGTGAGCTGGAAGAGGGGCTGACAAGCAGGAGGAAACTAATATTTAAAGATAATTTCAGAAACATGAGATTAAAAAGTGCTGAAAGGAGGAGGCTGAACCTTTTTCCTTCCACCTCCAAGATTTATTGAAAATAGTGTTTTTTTTCTTTAAACAGAAAAAGCATTTGATTCTACATTTAAATATTAGTACATTTTTCATTCCAAAGTATTTACTAATACCAGCTCTGACAGAGTTACAATATTTGGGTCTAGATGGTAACAGAGAAACCGTTTCTGCCCCCAGGAAGCTTACAGTTGAAAAACAAAGGTGAAAGAAACAAAAATAAATGCATAAAAACCATCCAAAAAGATTCTGTGATAACTCTGAGGATGCTGTTGCAATGTATTTAGCAGTGGCAGAATGTAAGGGTCTGGGGATCAGGGAAAGTTTCCCTGAAGAAGTGACCTGAATGTTGAAGAGGTAAAGGATGAAGCTTTGGGGAGTCCTGGCAGTGAGACCAGCAGGCATGATTTCTCAGGGAGAGTGGTGTACAGTTTGGTTAAGTTGAAGCACAGAAGGACACGGGCAGGACATCACTGGTGGCTCAGTGGTAAAGAATCTGCCTGCCAATCCAGGGGACGTGGGTTCCATACTATTGAGCAACTAAGTCCATGCACCACAACAGCTGAGCCCACGAGCTGCAGCTACTGAAGCCAGCGCGCATAGAGCCTGTTCTCTGCAGAGAAGCCACCGCAATGAGATGCCCTCGCACGGTGGTGAAGAACAGCACCCTCTCACTGCAACTAGAAAGAGCCCGAGCAAAGCAGCGAAGACTGGGGGCAGCCAAAAATAAATAAATAAATAAATAAAATTATGTTTTGAAAAAGAGAAGGGAGAGGGCAGCAGGAGGTGGTATTAGGGATCGGGGTAGGGAGGATGGAAGGACTAGGTGATGGAGATGCTGCTCTTCTTCCTCTTAATCTCTGGCACCTTGATTGTCAGCCTGTTGAATAAACAACATCTCAGCAGGACTTCTGGTTGCCTCCCTAGAGAAGGGGCTGCCGTTGGTAATTGCTGGTGGACCCGGGCTTTTAAGGTTCCCTTTACCCACCACTCAGCATCTCAGCTTCCTTCCCTCTGAAGTGCAGTCACTGTTCTCACTAACCAGCTGTGTCACCTTTGATACTTTCAAATGTGAACATCCTCTTTTCCCAAATGAGGACAAGTATGATTTTTGAGCTCATTTCTGGAGCTAATAATCCATGATGATGTCTCTGAAAATGACACACCAGCTTTCTGAGTAAATGTCAAGCTTTCTGTGGCATCTCTCTGGATAGGGTGGAGTTAACGTGATAGGAGAAAGACCCTATGCTCTTTCTCAGAGGGAAACAGACCTGGATGGAAAGTCTAACTCTTACGTTATGTGATTTGGGGGCATTTATTTAAGCATTTCTAAGTGTCACTGTCTTCACTGGGGTGCAATAATATCCACTTGGCAGAATTATTGGGCCAGCTAGAAAGATCATATGTAACATGCTCAGCATGATATATTGATCTCAACTTATTATTAATAATGATTATTTGTGGAACTGAAGAGTCTAGAGAAATTTATCGAATTTGTTCTCCTCAGAAGCAGGTAGTGGAGAAAAATATTTCCCAAACTTCATCTTCAAACTCTGGTGACCCTGAATCAAGTTAAATATGGTTTCCAGTTCTTTGGGGAGCTGTGAATAATCATGACACATTGGGATCTGCATCTTTCTGGGCATCTTCAATGGATGCCAATTGAGCAGAAGTCAGAGGGAAGTTGGATTCATTAGTTTGATTGTTTGTCTTGTTGAGCTTTATTTTCTCAAGTTATTTTCTTCTAAATGTGTATTTATTTGCTTGTTAATTGTTCCCGCAGCCACAGATGCTCACTGAGAGGGGAGGACTTGAACAGACAGTGGCTGTCTCCCAGTGCTCATCTCCAGCCCACAATCTACCATGCCAAAGGACTCCTCCACTACCTGGACAGCATCGGCAGGAGTCCCATGGTGAGTTACTTCCTTTTGCTTCCATGCTCTTGGCTTGTTCCTTCCACCTTCCAGGGGGCAGAATACTTTCTGTCCAGGCAGGAAAACCAGACGCAAGCCCAAGACCTGTGTATGACAAGCTGTGATGGGGGCATATTCATTTCTTAAGGCTGACATAGCAAAATACCACAAACTGTATAGATTGAAAAAAAACCAAAACAAAACAGCAGCCTATGTTTCACATTTCTGGAGGCTAGAAGTCTTGAAATTAAGATGTCAGCAGCCCCCAGTGTCTCCGAAGACCCTGGGAAAGAAGCCTTCTTTGCCTCGTCCTAGCTTCTGGTGATTGCCGGCGGTCCTTAGCATCCTTGGCTTGTGGGAGCACAGCTCCATTCTCTGCCTCTGTCTTCGAGGGCCATCTTCGCTCTGTGTGTCTGGGTAAAAATTTCTCTTTTCTGATCAGCATAGCAGTCACTGGAGTAATGTGTGCGTGCTCAGTCGTGTCTGACTCTTTGTGACCCCATGGATTGTAGACCACCTGGTTCCTCTGTCCATGGGATTTCCCAGGCAAGAATACTGGAGTGGGTTGCTCTTTCCTTCTCCAGGGGACCTTCCCAACCAAGAAATCGAACCTGCATCTCCTACATTGGCTGGCAGATTCTTTACCTCTGCACCACCTGGGAAGCCCACAGTGAACCAGGGCCCACCTTGATTCAGTATGGGCTCCCCTTAACTTGGTTACATCTGCAAAGAATCTTTTTCCAAATAAGATCACATACATAGGTACTGGGAATTCGAGCTTGAGTGTATCTTTTTGGGAAACCATTTAACTGACAACAAGATCAAACCAGGAGTTCAATACTCATTGCTGAAACCTGGGCAAAAAATTGCATTTCATCCCATTTCCTGGGTCTTTTTTTTTCCAGTTATTCATCAAGAGAGAAAATGTATATGCCAATTAAATAGTAAAAAATTCTCTAGGTGTTCAGATTCATATTCAACTGCTGCTGCTGCTGCTAAGTCGTTTCCGTTATGTCCGACTCTGTGCGACCCCGTAGACGGCAGCCCACCAGGCTCCTCTGTCCCTGGGATTCTCCAGTCAAGAACACTGGAGTGGGTTGCCATTTCCCTCTCCCATATTCAACTAGTACTTATTAAGTTCCAAAGATGATTCTGTCTCTGTTCTGGACACTTTCATGTGTAGGCTTTTCTCTTGAGCCTATAGTAAATGTGCAATTGATGAAAAACAACATTCAGAGGTTAGGCTTAAGATAAGATAGGAGGTAATACTAGTGACATAACTGTATGAAAGTAATCATTTATGGACTACAAACTATGAACATACCTATCTGCAAAAGTGCAGAGGGCATATGTACAGATTTAGAGTGCTTACCTCACTGAAGGAGCTTAAACTAATTTGCAGAAGCTCACACATGGACCGATTCAAACAGTCATCTCCACCATTAACCACTTTCTGACCATATACTATATGATTAAAACAGTGGCACATTCAGTGACTATCCAGTGAAACAATGGGTGAATATCTAATTTAGAAGCTTACTTGAACCTCAAAAATATTAAGAGTTCAAATGATTTCCTTGGGATCACCAGGAAGCAGAGTTGATCTGGCTTTCCACTCTGCAACCCCTTCTCTCTTCATCACTTATTCTTTGAGGGGATGTGTTAAGTCCAGGTGTCTGCTCCCAGGGCAGTTGTATGAACAATGCTTAATTCTCCATCTATGACGTGTGATCACAGGTAGGGTGTTGCCAGACAAGGACTCTCCTCTGAGCCACGATGACGGGTTTTATCAAGGGTCATTATACACTGGCTGCACTGGGTCTTTGTTGCTGCTACACAGGCTTTCTCTAGTTTTGGCAAGTGAGGGCTACTCTATAATTGCAGTGTTCGGGCTGCTCACTGCGGTGGTTTCTCTTGTTGCAGAGCACGGGCTCTAGGTGCACGCGCTTCAGTAGTTCTGTCACATGAGCTTAATTACTCTGAGACATACTGGGTTCTTCCCGGACAAGGGATCGATCCCTCATTCCCCTCATTGGCAGGTGGACTCTCAACCACTGAGCCACCAGGGAAGTCCTCAGAACTCATTTTGTAGCCCTGGTGTCCACGTGGCTGATCTCAGTCTTCAGGCTCTTCAGAGGTCAAGCTGACACTTTGTGGCCCAAGAACCCCACCATAGATCACATGGCATCAACCTTCTAATGTGGCCCAATGTCCCAGGTAAAGAAAGACACTCATCTCTCAGGATATTCCATGGATGTCAACGTGGGCTCCAAGGAGCCAGTCCAGGGTCAGACCTTTCTTTGGAGAATATAGGGTATACATACTTCAGGCTTGTTGAGTCAATGCTTTATTGCAAAAGGACAAAGCACATCCTTTTCCTTTAAGAACACTAGTTCTACACTGGTCAAAATGTGCCATGTTTTCATGCTAACTCACATTCCCCATCCAAGGAGACCCTGTAATCTGCTAGAAATAACTTCATGGCCTGCATATGTGTGCTCAGTCGTGTCCAACTCTTTGCCCTGTAAGGTGTAGCTGGCCAGGCACCTCTGCCCATGGAATTTTCCAGGCAAGAATTCTTGAGTGGGTTGCCATTTCCTACTCCAGGGGATCCACCCAACCCAGGGACTGAACCTCTATCTCTGGCACTGGCAGCAGATTCTTTACCACTAGCACCACTTGGAAAGTCCCTACCCGGGGCCTCATGCATAATAGAGCACCGATCTTGAAGTCAAGATCTTGAAAAGTATGTTTCTCTAAGTAGGAAGCCTCAGCCTCTGGGAGGAGCGAGAGACTTACAGAAAAAGAGGTTTCACCCTGATACACATTTTAAGCATACACACATTCCGCCCGTAACAAACAGGATTCCTCTCTGCTCTGACAACCTCTAATTGAAGAGCAGAACATTTATTTTAAAGCATGGTAGGTGAAAGCCTTGCTTAAAAATATAAATAAACATTAATTAACTGTAAACATCACAGTCACAGATTCATCTCCTGCTGGGACCATCTGAGAGGTGGGTGAGAAACAGCTGAGCCCTAGATGCTGTTGGTAGCATTACAAAGCTCTCCTTTAGGCCCAGCATCACCTTTTGGTTACCTGTGTGGCTATATTTAACCAGCCTTCTGCTAACAGCAGAAGCACTGTCACTCTCAGTACTCAGGCCTGTCCTGCACCTGGAAGCCTTCCATTGAGTCAAGATTGTCTCTTGCACTACATGGTCATAGATTAACAGTAACTCCACACAAACACTGACTCTTATGGAAATATCTCTCAAAGCATTAGGAAGCCCATTTCTGGTGGTTAGGAGGTTCTACCTTCTCTAGATGGTACTGAGACATATTGGAAGGTAGAATAATATAAACTCCTGGGATGAATGAGAATTCAGGAGAAGGGGAGAAAGCAATGTCATGATACTTCTGGAGCTTGCTAAAGACCAGACAGTTCATTCAATTTATAAGCAATACAGCCCTCTTCATATATTGTTTCATCCATTCACTGATTCATCCATCTACCCTTCCATCCATTCATTCATCCATCTATCCATCCATCCATCCATCCATCCATCCATCCATCCACCCATCCATCCATCCATCCATCCAGGCAGTCATCCATTTGCTCATTTACATCATGTGTGTAATAATTGTGCCAGGTGCCAGAAGGTACCTTTTCTTTAAGGAGTTGTATAATTTCTTTGGTAGAAAGTGGAGTCAAGTCTGTGAAGAAACCGATATAGTAAAAAATGAAACAATTTTTCAGTAAAAACTGAAACCAAGGTTCGTGTGAGTTGTAAGAACACAAATGAGGGCTTGAGTAACTTTCCCTTAAGGTTATGGAAATGCTTCAGACTGAAGATGCCATTTGAGTTGTACTTGAAAGATGAGTAAAGGTTTTTCTTGTACTAACAATAAACTAGTAGAGAAATATCCTTTCTTTAGAGGTCTACAGGCCTGATTATGGACTCTTATTCTTCTTCCTTGTGAAACTGAAGACTTGGTGGGTTTTCTGTGTTTGAAGGTCACCAGATGGAGCAAATGAAAGAAAGTTTTTATTAACTAATGGCATAGCTCTCACATCACACTGACCTTATGTTCCCTTTCCTATCGTCCTGAACTTCCATTTTATGTCTCTCTTGTTTGTTAGAAGATAAGGAAATATGCTGCAGATGTTGGATCCAAAAGCCCAGAAACACACAATATTGGCATATTCATACACTGGAATACAATTCAACAGTAAAAACTTAAAGACAATAGCAATCAACTACAGATATACTCAACAACACAGACCAATTTCAGGAACATGTTTAGTGAAATAAATTAGACATTAAGAAATACATATTCTATGCTTCTATTTATACAAAGTTTAAGATGAGTAGACCAGAACAGTGGTTTCCTCTAGAAGGGGATTAAATAAGAGGAGCCAGGAGGGAACTTTCTAGGTTAGTGGAAATCGTTCTATATTTTGAATGAAAAGTCACTTACAACAAAACTCATCGACTCAAAACTCTTTCAAGTTCTGTGCTTGTACATACTTCCATTTCCATTTATTTTAAAATTAACAAAACCAAAGCAAAGTCACAGAGCTTTGAAATGTAGCTAGGAGATAAAGGAGGATGTTCAAAGTAAAATTGACCAGCACAAAGAAAGGCGTGCGAGTCAATCTAGGGAAGGTTATCTTTGCCAGAACAGAGTAGAGAGGCTGAGAAGGTTTATTAGAAATCAGAAGGCTCCAATCAGAGAAAAGGTATGTAAGTGGAGAAGCCCAGAAGAGCAGACAGCCTTAACAATCAACTCATAGCGGGCATTGAAGTGTTCATCTTCCAGGAGTTCCACACAGCGGTCAGGAGCTATGCTGCCCTTGGGGCAGTAGGACATGTTGGGGGAGAGGAGGAAAGCTCTTAGGCTCCAGCAAGCTCCAGGGAATCTAGACCAGCAGTGTCTTCTGAAGAGCTGTGCTGTAGCTGCCTGGTCTCTGTCCTGCTGCAGGGCATCTGGGTTTCA